AGTTCTTATCAATTTCTGCCTTTCACAGGCTGTGTTTCCATCTTTCCTGAGTACCATGCCCCCTTGAGGACAAAGATATTTTATGTGTGATAAGAATGGATTCATTTTTTGTGTGTTTCATTTCAAGAACATGGAGGAACATCTTATGAATCTTAGAATGTGGGGCACTAAGCCCAATCTAGGGACGGAGCAGGGAGGCCAGGGGAAGAAGAGTTGGGAAATGGCTGTGAGCCGTGGAGTGGGTCAGTTCTTCATAGACGTTCCCAGAGTTCTGGTCCCTGGGGAGTGCTTCTGTGTAAGTCCTCTGTCAGTTCTGGTTTACTCCGGCAGCAGAGACAAGAGAATCTCCCAACCCATCCCCACTCTGTTCTGAAAACATATTCCACCACTTACACAAGCTTTGGCTTTGGCAGCAGAATGCCCAAGTTCAGTTTCTTTTTGCCAGCCAGAGGCTGAGAACTCTGCAAATGTAATGATTCTTTACAGATACAAAAGAGAAAGCAGATACAAAAGATAATGCACATGATCTAGGTAGCATGCAATCTCAGGAGAGTCAAGCCCTTCTCTTCAAGTCCCCTGGGAAAGATGCCCCCAACACTCCCACCATCCCCCCTTTCCCTGAGAGAAGGGAAGGTTTCTGTTGCTGGCCAAGCTCACCTGCTAAGCAGGTACAGAAAATGGATCATTTTCCAATTCTTGGATTTAGCTTCTCTCTCAAAACTAAACTGACTTTAAAAAACAAAACCGGACGGGCGCAGTGGCTCACACCTGTAATCCCAGCACTTTGGGAGGCCAAGGCAGGCAGATCACGAGGTCAGGAGATCGAGACCATTCTGGCTAACACGGTGAAACCCCGTCTCTACTAAAAAATACAAAAAATTAGCCAGGCGTGGTGGCGGGCACCTGTAGTCCCAGCTACTTGGGAGGCTGAGGCAGGAGAATGGTGTGAACACAGGAGGCGGAGCTTGCAGTGAGCCAAGATCGCACCACAGGACTTCAGCCTGGCCAACAGAGTGAGACTCTGTCCCAAATAAATAAAAAAAAAAAAAAAAAACCATCCAAAACAATCCTACGTACAATTATGGTGTTTAGTCTTAGTTTTCATATATAGATCACTTGGCTTTTCATTATAACTCGTATGTGAAATGGCCACGAAATGTGCCAAATGCATCTTAAATGATATTAAAGTTCCCATCACACACACACACCAATTAAATGAATGAGAACAAGTTCTGCCTAGTGCCCTCCCAGGCACGCTGTGCTTTTCTTGAGCTGCCTGGACACCTGGTGCCTGAGGCTGCCATCTGTGGCCCCGCATCCTGCTCTGCCCTCCTTGAAGAGTGGCCCATACTCCACCCTATCAAAGTCCACTCCCTGTATACTCTGATCCTAAGAAGCATTCTATTAAGTTATTCCTGTTAACATATGAATCACAAATGCATCACCTGTCCTACGGATGCTTCCACATCTAATAAGAGGCTTAAAGGGAAACACTTCACCCAATTTCTCTAATGGTAGAATTGTAAGCACAACACTAAGTGAATTCCACCTTTTGGGTAAGGAGCTATATCCAGCTGATTCCTCCACACTGACCATTTCCTACTTCATTGGTCTCATAAGCTGACTTTGCCCCTAAGGTAAGGCTGAAATGGATCCTGCATCTTTAGGAATAGAGGTTAATTTCCATACAATTGTGGAAGGGCAAACTCCTTAACCTCACAAGTCACCTGGATCAGAACCAAGTTGGTCTGTGGAGGATAGGGCCCCTTGTTCATCCATTTCTGGTCATCCATTACTTAACAATGCTCATTACCTCCAGTGTCTGAACCAAAGTAGGAAACAGTGGGAAAAATCACTATCAAGACATTCTTAAAGACTTCTCTACAGAGGCCCAAAGCTTGTATAGTCCAGCATCTTTGAGCACTTAATAGTCAGTATCTGTAAAACCTTCCTAAAAATAAAGGCTTCACAGAACTGACTTCTTACACTGTTAACAAAGGCCTCTCTGATTTGGCTCCATCTAAGATAAGAGCCTCTCTGTAAGAGCAAAAGCATGTGTTAAGATAAAAAGTGAAGTGGATTCAATGGGACAGAAGACAGCCCTTCACAAGCAAGTATCTAAGAGGCCAAGAAATAAAAAGGCAAGGGTGTCCCTCAGACATGGCCAATATCACAGGCTCAGACAGGTTTCTAAACGGATGCTTCTCTAAATCGGTTTTTCTAGAGCCTTCCTGATCATAAGAACCACCTAGAAGCTTTGTTTAAAAGATACAGATTCCCAAGACCCACTCCAGACCTATGAAGCCAAAACCCCTGGTAGGGTCTGGTAACACATATGTCTAGCCAGCACCTTAGCGGAGTGTCAGGCAAGCTTCAGAAATAATGCTCCAAATGAAACAATAGGCAACTTTTTAAAAGCTTTGTAATCACATAACCTTGAAGTTACAGGGTATGTGGGAAAATGCAGGTTTAATGGAAGGATGTTAGAGCCTTCTTAACCTAGTTAAACTTATGGAATATAACCAACATGAAACGAGGAAATCATTTTAACTAACTTGGGGGGTAGGGGAAGCCTTCCCCTGTAGCTTTACCATATCTCAGCTGG